AAACAAGTACTGAACGCTCCCCCTCCCCCGAGCTCAATGTTGGCACGCGCGGAAAGCACTGCGGTGGAAGTGCACCTCCTCAGGCCCACCGCCCACTTTGAACAGGGGGGGGGAGGAGGGAGGCGTTGACAGACTGACTCTGGCACGAGCGTTCGCTAAGTTGTTCCGAGGCCTGGAGCACGGCCGTGCGCACCTATAGGGAGCTGTTTGCCGGGGAGCGTGGCCGCCCAGACCCAGCATGCGGCGGGCACTCGGTCGGGCGTGTCCCTCTAGGGGAGGAATGGTCGGAGGAAGATGCGGGAGCAGTGCAACAGTAGGCTGGGGACGTGTTGCTCGTGCGCTTTTCCGTATTCGGTTTGAGCACGTGTTGATTATGTTGCTCTACTGTGAAGGCCTGACGGCCGGTGCCGCCGACCCTGGAAGACATCGACGACGACCAGGAGGGGGAGGAGGAGGAGACGGAGGAGGAGGAGGAGGAGGAGGAGGAGGAGGAGGAGGAGGAAAAGGACTCCCCCCGTGAGGCTATTGTTTCATATTTCCTTCCAAGATCCACCTTCAGGAGGACATGCCCGACCCAATGCTGGCACTCGGCGAGAGCAGCGTTCGCAACCCGACGCGGCTGCCGGCCCAGATTGTGTTCGTCTTAGGCCGGGCACGTCCCTTTACAAGAGGAGGATTCAAAGATAGTCAAAAATAGTCTGGGGACGACGTTTCGACGATTATTTTTCAGATTACGTGAACAAAGATTATTTTTCAGATTATTTTTCAGATTATTTTTCAAAGATAGTCAAAAATAGTCTGGGAACATGTGAATATTTCAGATTATTTGTTCGTCCAGAATCCGCTGAGGGCATGCCAAACCTTCCAGGGCATGTCCCTCCACAAGAGGAGGACTCAAAGATAGTCAGACCTATCGGGTATCGCCATGACCCCAGGTAAGGGGATTCGGTTAGTGGTAGGGTTGTGGAGCCCCCTAAATTGGCCGGAATCACTAAACCAGGTCTGCCGTAGCTGGTGTTTTTCGGGTGACGGCAGTTCTGGTCCCCCTGTACACATCAGTAAACCAGGTCCCGCTAAACCCAGTTCTGCCAACGCCAGAAAATAGTTTTGGGACGATGTCGAACATTTGAATACGTTTGACTCTTTTTAAATCTCCGTCCACAGGCCGCCTGCACGAGGACGTGCCCGACCTAACCCATGAGAGACTCTTCTATGTTGTTTGTCCTTTCATTGCACCAGAGAAAAACCCCAATCCGTGGATGGTTTTCGCTGAGGAGATCGACCGGGAACCCGGGAGTCCGAGAACCCAGAACCCACCGAAATCGACCCGGACCCAATGACCAGGAACCCGGGAACCCGGGACCAGGAACCCAGGAACCCAGCCTGCTACCAGAATCGGCGGGAAGTTTTCGCCAAGTCTTTCAGCTTCGACCCCTCTTAGTGGGCCCTGGAGACGGCAGGGCCGTTTTTCACCGTTTCCGAAAAAGTGTCCTTTGAAAATGGAGATGGCAAAAAAACGGCGACCGGAAACGGCAACAAAATCGGCTCCAGGATTGGAACAGGAACGGGAACCCGTAAAAGAACGGCGACGGAATTGGTAACAAAAACGGCGTCGGAACCAGCAACAAAAACGGCAAAACGGAACTTGAAAACAAACGGCCTTGTCGTTTCCAGGGCCCATTAAGGTGGAGACCCATACCAAGGAGCACCATGCTTTTGGAGGCTTCGAAATTGGCACCAGCACCAAAGCAGGGGGGGTGCGCCCACCGGGGGAGGATGATCGTAGACTTCGGTGCTGGTGGCCATACTTCGGCCGCCTAGGAAGCCAGAATAGTACCACCATCACCGATATCGGGATCATCTCCCCTCGGTGGAGGCATACCGCCGATTTTGGTGTTGGTGTTAATCTCTGGGCCTGCCATGCTTGCCTCCAGGGTGCCTTGGGTTTCTTGAGTTTCGCTGGTTTTGCAATGGAAAGCGTGGCGGTCCCACACCAAAAGTCGATGGACGCCCTGGGGTCTCAGGGTTGGGTTTCCTGTGGAAGGTTCCTTGTGGACTGGCCTCCGCTGGAAGCGTCGTCCAGGGGGGCTCGGGCCAGCTCAGAGGTCGACTGCTCCGCTGTGTGCTCTCCTCGGGATGTCGTCCGAGCGAGGAACGAGGGAGGAACACGCCGATGGGGCCCTGGGGCCCCCCGCGGCGGCGTGACATTGATACTCTTTCTCCCCCCGATCCTCGGGCCGATCTTCAGGAGGGGAAGAACTATGCACAGACACAATTCATCGTCGATTTTCAGGAAAGATCTGGGAACATCTGGGCAGTGGAGGGGGGGAGACAAAGCCTCGAACAGATGGGAAACTGTACGGGGATCCTGGGATTTTTTCTGTGTGTGTGTACTTCTGTGTACCCCTGGGCCCCCTGGGGGCTTGCGAGGCCCGTGAGGCAGCGCCTCGCCTTAAGAGGCTCGAGGCGCCGCTGTGCCGGCGCCTGCTCGGCCGGAGGGGGCGGCGGACGGGTGGCGGCAGCCCCACGGGGGCGGGCTCCGCCGGCAGTCAGCCCGGAAGGACTACAGGACTGCCTGGAAGGTCGGTCCCTGCTCAAAAGAAAAGAAGGAGCACGGCATACACATGTTTTGTTTGAAATCCGCAGGGCCCCCTCTGGCTGACCCGGGTTAGCGAGCCGCTCGTGACCGCGAGGCGGCCGCGCATATTGGCTGACCCGGGTTTGCGAAGACCTGCGTTGCAGCTTTTGTTTTTCTGCATGGCAGTTGTTCGGTTTTTTTGCTGACCCGGGGTCTGGATTGACCCAGGTCAGAAGATCCCTGAGGGCGCTGATACTCAGAGCGTGAATTACCTACCCCGCTTTCGCTTCCAGGCAAAACCAAGCCATACCACGCGCCTCCTCGTCGAGCGGCCTGACCAGCACGGGCTGCAATTTGGCATCGTTTGGTATCTCTTGGAAGCGAGGGTGGTCAAAAGCGAGGTAGGTTTGTTTCCCCCCTAGATACGGACATGTTCGCCATTCGTGACAGCACCCCCTGCCCTGGGCCTGGCATTGAGGCGAGAGCTCCGCTTGGCAAAGGAACTGTCTGGCATCCTTCCAGCGAGGAGATAACTAGTACGGACTGCGGAGAGGTTTGGCAGCACAGATCCACGGGGTGGCCAGCGAGGTCCCTGTGTTGAGAAAGGACCCTCCCCGATGTGTGCAGCTGCTGCACTTGCGCAAGATAGTCCTTCTGATCATGAGGGTCGAGAAAGCATCAAGCGAGAACTCCACCTGGTAGAGGACCGCCCTGCACCCGTCCTGCTGCTAGATAGATTCGACCGCCTGGCCCCTAGAAGTAAGCACGTCTCAAGCGAGAGCCACGTGTCTTGAATGGACCGTCCTGCCTCGTTGTGGCTGCAAGCCTTTCAGACGAATACGCGTGGCGCTTGAGCGAGAGCACCGGTCAGAAAAGAAGCCGGTCTCCATCCTTGAAGTTGTTGCAGTTGCAGGCCGGGGCCCAAAGTTCGAGGTCGCCCTCGAGGCTCGAGAAATCTTCGAGGGTTTCGGATGTTATGATTTCCCTTCTTGGGGCATTCGGAGGGCCTCAGGGGAACTCGGACCCAGATTGCGCCGCCTCCTCCTGCTCATGCTCCTCCTCCTGCTCCTGCTCCTCCTCCTCCTCCTCCTCTTCCTCCTCCTTTTCTTCGGCCTGCCATCGGATGCTCCCGTGGCTTCAGCTCCTCCTCCTCCTCCTCCTCCGACCCGGTCCCAGACACCCGACGTTTTGTTTTTATTCAGCACGGGGTTCCCGGAAGTCCCGAGCCCTTCCCCAGGACGTTTTTTTACCCCGAATCGTTTTTCGACGGCCCCCGGGACCGGCGAGGGCCCCTAGAGGCCGAAAATTGTCAAAAACCTCCCGTCGCGATTTGTTCACAACGCAAGCACGTCTGGGTCGATTGATCATCCCGAGTCGTTCTTCGACGGTCCCGGGGACCGGCGAGGGCCCCCAGAGGCCGAACAAATTGCCAGAAAAGCTTCCCGTCGCGATTTTTGCGCACAACGCGAGCACGTCTGGGTCATGCTCCTCGATTCTTCGACGGCGTGGCCCTGTCTGGAGCGTGTTCTTAGAAGAAGGGAATCGGGATTCACGCATTGGCGAAGCGTCCTTGCTCGCCTGTGGGCCAACAACAAAAAATGTTCTAAAAACCTTTTGTGGTCTGCACGACATGAGCTTAGAACATTTCTGGCTGAGACTGTCTCGTTTTGACCTATCGTGTTTATGCGACTACATTCGAATATCTGTAGGTTCTGAGAACATGTCGCGATAGGCCTACAGGACTGCCCGGAAGGTCGGTCCCTGCTCAAAAGAAGGAACACGGCATACACACGTTCTGTTTGACATCCGCCGATCGCTTGGGCCGGCGCTGGACCCGCCTGCCCTGGTGCGCGGGGCGCGGCCAGAGGTTCCAGCGCCGATCCAAGAAGTCCGCGCGAAGCTCTGGGCCCTCCTCTTCCTCCGGCTCGGTGAAGTTCACGACGCGAGCATGTCTGGGTCTTTCACTTTCGCCGCCCAGCAAACCGCCCCAACCCAACCCGAAGGCCCCGATTTGGCCTCCGTTCCCAGCGGGGGGGGGGGCGGGGAGCATCAACAAAACACGTCTGAAGCTCGTACCCCCGCCCCAGGCCGAGATTCGGGTCTTCGGGTCGGGCTGGGATGGTCTGGTGGGTAGTCACTCTTGCTCAGATCCGGTCGTAATCCTTGTCCTCCCGCTGACGGGGGTGTTGGGGGATCGGCTTCAGTCGGGCCTGTCCCTCTTCGGGGGGGATTTTCAAAAATAGTCAAAGAACAGTCTGGGGACTCGTTTGTTGACCATTCTGGGAGTATTTTTTTGTATTTGTAATTTTTCATCCAAAATCCCCCTGGAGGGAGACACGCCCGACCTTATCCGAGGCGGCCGGGGCCCTGTGCCCCGCGGGGGAGGACGAGCCAGCTCCTTCTGTGCGCGACGCCGGACGAGATGGACGCGCTCACCGAGGATGCGGGCACGTTTGGGGCTTGCGGCAGGAAGGAACGCTTGAGGAACGCAGAGGGGACGCCAGAGGGGGTGGAGGGGATGCCATGTAATGCACGTGTGCACGTGTCGCTTGCTCGGAGTGCGCTCCCGGGGGGGTCCCCCTCCCCCTTCGCGCGACCGTGCTCTGTCGGTTGCTGTGCGCGACGCCGGACGAGATGGACGCGCTCACAGAGGATGCGGGCACGTCTGGGGCTTGCGGCAGGGAGGAGTTTTTGGATTAGGAAAATCGGGGAGTGGACAGAAACCACCCACCCCTCTTCGGTTCCCGAGAGGGCGGCCGTCGTTTTCCAGGCTTGCGCCCGCCAGGTTTGGGCCCGAGGTCGTTTTCACTAGACCAATGTTTTACTGAAGGGATTCTGTCCATCCCCGAGAAAAAGAGATGGACGAGGCCAAGGATGAGGAGGTGTTGGAAGAGGAGGGGAAGGACGAGGACGAGGATCTAGTCCTCTCATATGGGGTTTGAGCAGATGGGGTCGGAGGATCGCGCCGCATGGCCGATGCACCGCCGATGCGGCTCGATGTGGAGCCCGATATTCTGCACGCCGACGTCGCCGATGTATCGACGACGTCACCGATGCATCACCAGTGCATCGCCGATGCATCGGCGATGCGGCGCGATCCCCCGACCCCCATATATACGGACCCCGTTTGGGAAGCCTTTAAATGGGAAGGACGAGGGCGAAAAGGGGGTCGGGTCGGGTCGGGTGGAGCTCGCAGCGTCTGCTGCGCGTGGGCTGGCGCGCCGGCCACCGCTCAGCGGGCTGTCCGGAGGACGCCAGCTCAGACTGGCCAGGCCCCTGTGGCCTGGCCTTCGGTTGGGCATGTCCTCCTGCAGGCAGATTTTGGCTGAAAAACGAAAAACCTTAAACCTTAGTCAAACACAACCCAACATCATAGAAAAATATCCCCGTCTTGTTTTTTATGTTTGAAAATTCCTCCGTTAGGGGGTCGGTGCACCTCGGCACTATCCCCCCGGCACATGCAGGCCTCGGGGTAGAGCCCACGAAACCGAGCCGAGTCCAACCGAGGCGACGCTGCGACAGGACGAGGAGGAGGGAAATGGAAGGAGGGGGAGGAGGAGGAGGAGGAGGAGGAGGAGGAGGAGGAGAAGGGGGAGGCGGAGGAGGAGGAGGTGCGCACCACCTGGCGCGACGGGGGATCCGAGGCGCGGGCAGCTAGGAAAAGGAACGCCTTCCAGGGGGAGGGACTTACCAGGGCCAGGAAGAAACGCGAGGCCCTGGGCAGAACGGGGGGGGGCATCAAATTTGTTCAGCACCTACCTCTGCCAGGCGGCAGAGGCGGCACCCGACAGGCCCCCCCCCCTTTAAATAGGGTCAAGTGGCCTCCCCGTGCGCGGGTGGAGGCCACGGGACGCATACTTGATCTTGGCCGCCTGGGAATTCCGAGTCGACGGGTGCAGGGAACGGCCAAGACAACGCTTCTCAAGCCCACGTAACAAGCCCCCTGGGAGTATAACGTGGGCCGAGCACAACGAGCAGAAGGCCACACGGCCGACCTGCTCCATCTGATGGCCCAGGGACACAAACCGCGCCGTGAGCGTTTCGGTCGGCGGCGCCTGGGCCTGGCCAGGGGAGGACCCCAGGACCCTCACCGCGGCCTCCGTCGCCGCAGGCGCCGCTTCCGAAGAGAAAGCCACCCCCTCCTCTTCACGCGTGACGAACACCGCCTGGGCCTGCCACGCCTGGAACGCGCTGGGCCCACAGTGGCGGCGGCTGCCAGAGCGGAGTTGGGCGAGGGAGGAGGGGGTCTTGGCATACAAATTGCAACGCTTACAACGCCACTCCTCTAGAGACGGGAAGTGATACAGATCGTGCTCGATCAGCGCGGGGCCGCACTCACCTTCACGCTTTCTGCGCCTCGGGGCAGGGGACGAGGCCGAGAGCTCCTGGGCACACGCACCGATACTCTGAGCAAATCTGGACAGAAAGTCAAAAGTCAGACGCGTCTGAGAGATCACGGAACTCTGGACCTTCTCAAGCGTCTGGGCCGCAGCGTGGGATTCAGCTCCGATCCGCGCGAAAAAGTCGGCCCAGGTGTTCCCCAAAAAATGTTGCACCTCGACTTCGGATCCCGACGCGACCACATCATCCCAAACACGGTGAGCTGGGGTCCACTCGAAAGACGGCCTGGGACCAGGGCAACCATAAAGCTGAACAATCTGCCTCTAGACAGCCGCATGGCGCCCGCCACTGGCCGCCATGCCAGGGTCCCAAGACTGCCCCTCACGGACCGCGCTCAAATGGTCTGACACCACGTGCACATTCAGGGGGCCGACTCGAAGCGCCTGGAAAACGCAAACCGCTCAGCCCGAGGCACAATCTGGGCGCCGCCAGGCAACGCCCCGAAACGAGCCCGAACCGGGGTCCCACAATGACCCAGCTCCACCATGGCCCATCCACACCGTCTAGTTCGGGGCTGCTGCTGCACAGCCCCGACCCGTCAGTGCAGACGCGCCGCCCCCATGGCGCTTCGGCCTCGCCCCACGTGCACACAGGGAGCTTGTCAGGGACAGGGTCGAGAGCGACGGGGTCGAGCGGGGGGCCATGCACCGCCTCGAGCGAGTCCCAGACCTGTAGGCCCATCTCGAAAGGACCAGTGCCCCTGAGTTCAGACCTGCGCAAAAGAACATCATCAGGAATACAGTTGCCCTGGGACGCTGGGTAATTCAACGCGGCGTCACAGTCATAAAGCTGGTGACCGAGAGAGCCTACAACATTCATGCCGCACAGGGTGCACGTCTTACTGTCGCCCAGGCCAGCCTCAAATTTTCTCTCTTGCGACCACAAGGCGTTGCCGATCAGACAGCGGAGAGCGGCGCGATGGGCACTGTCGCGAATCTTGAGGACAGCACTACGCATACCTCGAAGCCACAAACGCTCGGAACTAGCCTGGGGGAGGTGGGGCAAAATCTTCTTGGCTTGCCACCTCTGGATCCCCGACCGAAGCTGTACCTTCACATCGAGCGGAGCGGTTCGCAACAGGTCAATCGAAAAACCTAGGTCGTCCACCAGCACGTGCGCAGCAGACATGAACCAGCCTACACGAAGCAAGCTGAGCAGCACTGCGCTAATTGGGCCACGACATGACTTCCACGTCGGCCGCTCGAGGATCCGTGCCTTGACGGCCATCCACGCTTCCGTTTCATGGAGTCGGCCTAGCGAGAACCTCGAGTCTCAAATTACAGCTGCATAGCGTTGGATTAACGGCGCAGTCGCATCGAACATGGGGTCATAAAAAGGGGTCAGGTTGCGTCGCTAGCCAAGCCGTCAATGACCCATATCGCTTCGCGCCCACTAAGGTTCCCGCCATAGTGCGGAGGGCCCCAAGGGTCGGATCTGCGAGCCCAGAGACCCCAGCCCCATGCGACCCAGCAGGCATCAGCCCCCTACGCCATAAACGACTCACCTTGCTAGGCGCAGCTCGACGGAGGGCAGACAGCTTGTCCCGAAGCCGAAGCAGATTCTTGAGACGGAGCTTTTCTTGGGCCCGCACTGGCCGCCCAGAAAGAAAGAAAGAAAGAGAGGTGACGCATGCGGGCGTGGCTGCCGAGTTTGACCAGACGGGCAGACGACGACAGGTTCGACGACACTTGCACCGCCGTAGCCACGTATCCACTCTTGGCTGCTTGGAGGATTAAACCGAGCTGAAAGACCTGGCTGCAGTGCCATCTTACCGCGGCAAGTAGGATCTCACTAAATTTCAACAGTCTGCCAACCCACTGGAAGCTGGAATCATCCATGGGGGCTCTGGGCCTAACCGTGGGGTAAAGGGTCCTCATCTTAACAATCACACGATGGAGAAGCACGTGCATCATGGAATTGGCGCGGCTACATCCAGCAAGAATGCCTCGGTTGGCCACCACCTGCCGCGACGCGGAACCGAACGCTTGGATCACCCTCGGGCACCGATAGGATGCAAGGACCATTCACATCATCCGAAGCGGGTATCGAACCTTCCTGGCTTCGGCAAACAGTCGCTCTACAATCACACATTCGTAGCATTTAAACATGCCCAAGAAAACGCTCACAGGGTACTCCCCCACCGCCGTGGCCGCCTCCGCCTCCATATCGTGGTCAAAGGCTGCGTCAGACGCACCAGCCCCTGGACCATGGCCCCAGAAAGAAGGGTCACGCTTGGCCTTCTCCCAGGCCTGGGAGACAGGTTTTCTCACCCGCCCCCAAAGGCGGAGCAGAGAGTTTTAAAGCGCAATTAACCGATGCCCTCCAGAGGGCTTGGGCAAGCGGACCAAACGGGTTTGGATCCGAGACTCAGGCCAGGCAAGGAGCCTTTCGTAGGCCATGAAAAGATCAGCCACCGATTGCAAGCACTGATCGGAGACTGTGAGCAGGGACTTAGGGTTCATCAAGCCGAGCTGGCCTAGAGCCGTTTTACAAGGGAACGTAGCGCAGGCCCTACGGAGGTCGGCGACTGAGATCTCAGGCAGAGCCTCCCAGTCATGGTGGTCTCTAGGTAGGCCCACTCGCTCGCACTTGTGCATCTTCCAGATCTCCTCCCACTCCGCGAGGCTGTCGTCTGCCTGCTGGAACGGCTGTGGTCGAGACGTCTGCGCAACCAGCTCCTGCATCTCACGCACACGGGAGAACTTGTGCGCAGCTCCTGCACCCTTGGTAAGCGCTTGCTCGACCCACTGTTTCCAGTCAGCCCGTGAAGCATCAGCAAACTCGTGCAGCTTGACCTCGGTCTCATCAAGGAAACCCTGGACGACGTCGTCGAACCCTGCACTGCTGAAGATGTCAGGTGCGTCCACAAAGAACTCCCTGATGGACTCCGTGGACCCCTCCAGCACCCAAGCCGACTTGCGTATGCGGTTCAGAAACCTCTGATGGAAATAGAACTGCTTGGATATCTGCTCCAATCTGTGATCCGTGGGATCGGAAGCATACTCGACATCAAGCTGCGACAACTTGGTGCGGACCGAGCGCAAGTGACGCAGCCATCGGCCCAGCGTTCGCCACGCAAGCTCCGCCTTCGGCAGAGGGGGGGCCTGCTTCAGCAGCGGCATACACGACTACGAAGGTGGGCCAGCACGCCCGCAAAACTTATGCCGCACTCAGGCCTTCACGATGTCGTTGCGGTCGCAGAGCTCAACCTCGATGCCTGCAAGAACGTCGTCCCAGCGATCAGCCAAATCATCTTCAGAAGCGGCGTGGCTGATGAGCGACTGGATCTGGGCCCTTTCTTCGATTGGTGGGAACCTCGCACAACCAACCTTCGGCTCAATTCCAAACTTCTGTGGCTCATCAGGCACGCGACGACACATGCTTCTCTCCGCCCTGCCCAGCTCCAGAAGGACGGGCTTGTGCGGAGGAGGAGGAGGAGGAGGAGGAGGAGGACGAGGACGAGGAGGAGGAGGAGGAGGAGGAGGAGGAGGGGGAGGGGGAGGGGGAGGGGGAGGAGTTAGAGGAGGAGCAGGAGCAGGAGCAGGAGGAGGAGGAGGAGGAGGGGGAGGAGGTAGAGGAGGAGCAGGAGCAAGAAGGAAGGAGGAGGAGGAGGAGGAGGAGGACATTGACATTCGCTTCGGGGGTGAACTAAAGCCCAGGCGCGTTCCTCGGAGGAAAAAGAAGAGGAGGGTTGGAAGAGAACAGGCCGGCCGCGGAGGAGGAATGGGGAAGTGGGGGGCGCAGGCAGCTTCAGGCACCGAGCCGATCATCGAGGCTCAAGGAACGGCATGCGGCAGGTTCGTGCCGCGTTGACGCGGCGGCGACGCCAGCCCGGGCATTCGAGCTTGAACGCCGCCAGTGGCCCAGAATCGGCCGACATCGACAGATCGGCGATGCTGGAAGGTCACGATCGTGTAAGGTTGCCAGCAACTAGCAGGGTTCGCAAGGCACCTCCGGACCGATTCCGGCACGCCCCCCACACGCTTCGTGGCCCCAGAGGGAGCTCCACCGAAGGTCCCGGTGGTTGCGTTCGCATGCTCCGCGTTCCGTTGCTCCATATATATATATATATATATATATATATATATAGATACATGCATATATATATGTATATATATAGGGAGAAAAAGAGAGACAGAGAGAGAGAGAGAGAGAAAAACAAAAAAAACACTCACAACACACACACACATACACACGTATACACATCTACACACGCGCGCGCATGCACACATTCACACCCCTCACAAGCTTCGTGGCCGCATAGACGCTGATCGCTTCCTAGGGGTGCGCTGTAGACTGTTGCATCGTAACGAAACGCCGAGGGAAAACACTGCAGTGCCAAGGGCGTTGCTTTGATGATTGCTTCATCTGATTAACGGAGCCGACACCGAGTCCAAGGAATCTATGACGGCGCGATCGGCGTGGGATCTAAGTGCCAGAATTCAGCGAGGGCATCCCCAGCTTGAAAGTTCTAGACGCTTCGCGTACCCCCTATCAGCCAATCCAGAAGCCATGCCCTGACGAGTTGCCCTGATCAGGGAAGTGCGGCAGCACGCAGAGGAATAATGGATTGGGTAAGACGTCATATCCCAAGATCGGGGCGGGATGGAAGAGGAGTCGGGGGAGGAGCACGAGGAGATGGAGGAGGAGGAGGAGGAGGAGGAGGAGGAGAAGGAGAAGGAGAAGGAGAAGGAGGATGAGGAGGAGGAGGAGGTAGAGGAGGAGGAGGAGGAGGAGGAGGAGGAGAGGAGTAGGGGGAGAGGCGGGAGGGACGAGGAAAGAGGAGGAATAGGCGGATGAGGAGGAGGAGGAGGAGGAGGAGGAGGAGGAGGAGAGGAGAAGGAAGAGGAGGGCGAGCAGAAAGACCAGAGGCCTCTTGCATGCCTTGCGGAGTATCTCGGGATGTCGTTCGAGAGTTTCTTGGAGACCTCTTGTGGTGTCGTGGGGATCTCTTGGCAGTCCCGGGGGCCTCTTGGGGCGTCTTGGGTGCCTCTGGGGGGACCTCTTGGGGGTATCCTGGGGGCCTCCTGGGGGCATCTTGGGGGCCTCTTCGGGGCCTCTTCGGGCCTCCTGGGCACCTCGCGGGGCAGCTTTGGGGCACCCTTGGGAGCCTCGGGGACCATCTTGGGGCCATCTTGGAGAAGATCGATGTGGTCGAAACCATATACAATCAATGATGTCGGCATTTCTTTACACCCCTCACACGTGTCGTGGTCCCTCAGGGAGCTCCACCGAAGGATCCAGTGGATGGGTTTACATGCGTCCGCGCGACCCACTTCGACACACCCCTTACACGTTTCGTGGCCCCATGGGGAGCTTCACCGAAGGCCCCAGTGGCAGGGTTTGTATGCGTCCGCGCCACCCATGTAGGCACACCCCTCGCACGTTTCGTGGCCCCACGGGGAGTGCCACCGAAGGTCCCAGTGACTACGTTCGCATGCTCCGCGCTTCGTTGCCCCATACATATATATAGAGAGAGAGAGTAAAAAAACACAGAAAAAAGTTCCACGAAAAGCCCCAGTGGCAGGGTTCGCATGCGTCCGCACCACCCATGTCGGCAGCCCCATCACACGCTTCGTGGCCCCATAGGGGGCTCCACCGAAGACGATATTCACAACTGCGGCATTCACAACTCCATCTGGGTGGGTCCTTCGCCAGGCTATTTTTTTCTGACTGGCATCGGTCCTGGGGCGAGGGTCGCATCGCTTGGGGGAGGGGGTGTTTACACGGTGTTTACTAAAAGGGATCAATGACCTCGTGGGAAGCGGAAGCTCGCTAAACCTTTCTCGGCCTCAAGGGTTGGTGTGATTAAGGGATCAAGCGCGCCGGCCGAGCGCCTTGAGATCTTGCCCTGGAAGCCATGCTGCCCTCCCCCCAGCGACCTCCAACACTCCCCCCCCTCCTGCCCCTCAGAAACAGGCGCGCGCTCTCGCGGCCAGGAGCACGCTCGCCACGTGGCCGAGTTCCAGGAGCGCGGCCCGGGTCCGGCGGTTCTCTCTCTCTCTCTCGGTCTTGCTCCTCCTCGTCCCTCGCCCTCGCCCTCGCCAGCCTGCTCCACTTCTGCCTCGCGGTTTCCCCAGATCTGGAGGAGGAGGAGGAGGAGGAGGAGGAGGAGGAGGAGGAGAAAGGGGGGGGAGGAGGAGGAGGAGGAGGAGGAGGAGGAGGAGGAGGAGGAGGAGGAGGAGGAAGGGGGGGGAGGAGGAGGAGGAGGAGGAGGAGGACGAGGAGGAGGAGGAGGAGGAGGAGGTGGAGGAGGTGGTGTCTTTTGTCAGCTGGGCCTGTTTCCATTGGTCTGGGCCTCTGGGGCCCGTTGTTGGGCCTCGGGGCCATCGGAACGAAAGCCTGGCCTCGGGGGAGGCGTCGGGACACCGGGCGAAGGTCCCAAGGATCTGAAGCTGTGAGCGCCACGAGATGGCGCCGCGTTCTGAGGAGCCCCCTGTGGAGCCACGTAGCGTTCGAGGGGGTGTGCCAGAGTGTGCGGTGTGCATGTGTGTATGGGAGGTGTGTATGGGTGTGTGTTGGTGTGTGTGTGTGTGTGTTGGTGTGTGTGTGTGTGTTGGTGTGTGTGTGTGTTGGTGTGTTCGAGTTTGTGTGTGTTCGTGTGTGTGTGTGTGTTCGTGTGTGTGTGTGTGTGTGTTCGTGTGTGTTGGTGTGTGTTTGCGTGTTGGTGTGTAGGTGTGTGTGTTGGTCCGTGTTGGTGTGGGTGTTGGTGTGTGTGTTGGTGTATGTGTTGGCGTGTGTGTGTGTGGGTATTGGTGTGTGTTGGTGTGTGGTTTTGTGTGTTCGTGTGTGTGTGTTGGTGTATGTTGGTGTGTGTGTGTGTTGGTGAGTGTTGGTCCGTGTTTGTGCGTGTTGGTGCGTGTTGGTTCGTGTTGGTGTATGTGTGTGTTGGTGTGCCTTGGTGTGTGTGCGTCCGTGTTCTGGTGTGTGTGTGTGTGTGTTGTGTGTTGTGTGTTGTGTGTTGTGTATTGGTGTGTTTTTTTTTGTGTGTGTGTGCGTGTGTGTGTGTGTGTGTGTGAGTTGGTGTGTGTGTGTGTTGGTATGTGTGTGTTGGTGTGTGTTGATGTGTGTACGTCTACTGTTTCCTCTCGTGGACCTGTTCTGAGCATCCCTGTGAATTCCCCCCGCCGTCTCCCGCCTGGGAACTGCGTGCCCCGCCTTGGGCACGACTGTCCACGTGCGCCCGTGCGTCTGCACGGCGCTACCCCCTGTCCGGCAGGGGCCCTCTGCGCCGCCAGCCTCTGCGCGCCTGGCCGCGGTCACCACTGGCCGCCGCCCGCGCCCGCCCGCTCGTCTCCGCCCCTTCGCTCCAGGCGGCCCCTCCTGCGGAGCCGCCGCTCCGCGCCGCCCTGCTGCACCTGTTCGGTGCCTTCTCCGCCCCCCGCGTGCACCCACGGTGCGAACCTCCCCCGCGCCCTCGGCCCCTGCGAGTGCTGCGCCTCGCTGCTCTGCCCGCTTGTCTCGCCCGCGCGCCGTGGGGCCGGCCTTGCGGGCCCACCGTGGCGCCCTGCGCCGCTCGCGCCGTGACCCCTCTGGCTGCGGCCACTGCGCCTGTCCTCCGGCGGGCTGGACTTAGCCCCGCTCGCCGTTGGCTCCCGCGCGCCTCCTCCATGGTGCCGCCTCGGCTGCCGCTCCTTGCCCGGGTGGTAGCCCTGCCCCGCCGCGCGCATCCCCTGCCGTGGCAGGTCGGATCGCTGGCTTTCTGCTGCTCTTGGACAGGCCCCGCCTGCGGCTCCCACCCCCTGGCGGTCTGGCCCTCCCCTCTGCAGGGCCGGCCGGCCTTGGCCGGCCCCCCGGCCGGGCCTCCGAACCCTGGCCAGCCCGCAGTCCTCGTGCCGGCCTTGCCCGCTGGCCTGCTTGCTCGCTGCTCCGCCCCCCTTTGGTCCCTCGCTTGGTACCCGGGCCGCCCCCCCCCCCCCTCCCGCGCCTCGCGGGTCCGTGGTTCTCGGCGCCTCGTGTTGCTCCGCCTGCGGGGCCCCTCTCCTGAGGTGGCCTTCGTTGGCTGCACAGTCGCTGGGAGGTCGGCCCAGCCTCAGCGCTCCGCCGCCTCGCTGTGCCTCCCGCTGCTGCTCCTGGTGCCGCTCCCCCCCGGCTGCCCCGCGGCCGCCTCCCCGCCGCCCTGGCGCTGCCCCGCTGCCGCCGGACCCCGCTCTGAGCGGGCCTGGCCTCTATTCCCCCCCCCCGCGCGCTGGGCGTGTCCGCGCTTCCTCTCGCGCATTGCGGCCCAATGTGCACGTGTACGCCCTTCATTTGCCACATCCGCCAGCGCAGTCACTTTGCCCAGCCGCCGACGCAAAAAGTGCTGGTGTGTGTGTGTGTGTGAGTGAGTAGTGGTGTGTGTGTGTTGGTGTGTGTGTGTGTTGGTGTGTGTGTGTTGATGTGTGCTGCTGCGTGTTGGTGTGTGTGTTGGTGTGTGCTGATGTGTGTTAGTGTGTGTGTGTGTGTGTTCGTGCATAACCCTTGAAAGTCTATGTGTTGACCCCCCTGGAACTCTCGGCGGCGAATAAACTGGCCCTCCCGCCTCCCTCTCTCCTGTGTTATGTTTGTATGCATGCTGGTGTGTCTTGGTGTGTGTATATGTGTGTTGGTGTGTATGTGTGTATGTGTATGTGTGCGTCTGTGTATGTGTATGCATGTATGCTTGTGTGTGCGTATGTTTATGCATGTGTGTATGTGATGTGTGTGGGCACGTGCGCAAATGTGTACATGTGTGCAAGCGTGTATGTGTGCCTGTGGTGTGTGTGTGTGTTTGTGTGTGTGCGTGTGTCGGAGTAGGCGGGGATCCGCATGCGAGCCCTGCCATCGAGGCCTTCGGTGGAGCTTCTGATGGGGCCACGAAACGTTTGAGGGGTGTGCCCAATTGTGTCGGGCACCGCATGCGAACCTTGTCAAAGGGGCCTTTGGTGGAGCTCCCTATGGGGCCGCGAAGCGTGTGATGGGTGTGCCAAAATATGCGGGGATCCGCATGCGAACCCTGCCACCAGGGCCTTCGGTGGAGCCCCCTTATGGGGCCACGGAACGTGTGAGGGATGTGCCGACATGGGTGGTGAACTGCATTCGAACATTCCCAGTGAGTCTTCCGGTGGAGCTCGCAATGGGGCCATGAAACGCCTGAGGGGTGTGACGAACTGGGCGGGGAACCGCATGCGAACCCTGTTACTGAGGCCTTCGGTGGAGTTCCTGCGGGGTCATGAAACGTTTGAGGGGTGTGTCGGAATGGGCGGGGAACCACATGTGAACCCTGCCTCTGGAGCGTTCGGTGGAGTTCCCCATGGGGCCATGAAACGTGTGAGGGTATTCTGAAGCGGGCGGGGAGCCGCATGCGAGCCTTGCCACGGGGGCATTTGATGGAGCTCCCTATTGCGCCACGGAGCGTGCGAGGGGTGTGCCGAAATGGGCGAGGACCGCATGCGAACCCTGCCACTGGGGCCTTCGGTGGAGCTCCCTTTGGGGCCACGAAGCGCGTGCGAGGATATTCTGACATGGGCGGGGAGCCGCATACAAGCTTTGCCACGGGGGCCTTCGGTGGAGCTTCCTTTGGGGCCACGGAGCGTGTGAGGCGTGTGCCGACAGGAGCGGGGAGCCGCACGCGAACCCTGCCAGGCCTTCGGTGGAGCCCCCTTTACGGTGGGGGCCCAGGCCAAGAAATACCCTGCTTGCCTCCAGGGTGCCCTGGGTTTCTTGGATTTCTGATGTGTTGCGATGGAAAGCGTGGCGTTCCCACACCAAAAACAATGGACGTCCTGGGGTCTCAGGGGTGGGTTTCGTGTGGAAGGTTTCATGTGGACTGGCATCCACTGTATGGGGGCCACGAAGCGTGTGAGGGGTGTGCCGACAGGAGTGGGGGGAGTCGGTAGCAAATCACGGGAGCCTGGTATACCTTCTCAATTCCGTCTTTCGCGTCGATCAGCGTCGATATAGCGTTTGGGAGTCGATGGGATAGCGCCGATTGGCGTCGGCTAGCGTCGATTTGCGTCGATTTAGCGTCGATTAGCGCCGACTAGCGTCGGTTTGCGCCGATTCGCCACTGTAGCGTCAATGCAGGAACGATTTGTCCCACGTCCACATTGAGGCTGCTGGTGCACAAAACAGCGTGACAGGCGTCGCGTCAGTGTTGGCAACATCTGGAGTACAACATTTCTGGGAGATTTCACTGTCGTCGACTCTGCCATTCGCTATCGAACCTGTGGCACCACGACGAGCCTCCACTCAAGCGAGGCAACCTGAACGATCGCACCACCGACCGACATTGGCAGCAGCAGCAGTGTGAAGGTGGAGGTGTCCTGGCCGTCAACATCGGCGACGCTCTACCAGACCTTACGGCGCACTCCCCCGCCAGGTAGAGATGTCCGGTGGCTTATTTTGGGGCTCCGCTCGATACGACCTAGCTCAACAACATCGCTTTCACATCGGCAGCATCAAGTTTGCATTGCCGTCCAGGCCCCCGAGTTCAGGCCAACAGCATTTCATGCGTCAAGGACACCTTGCGCACACCACACACGCACAGCGCGCTTCCTGAATCTCGAAGAGACAACTGCGTCGACTCGGACTCTTCGCTCAGTCTGACATTCCCTCAAACACCACGTAAAGGACAGTGTCAAAATTCACAGAACAGGCGTTTGCGGTGGGCACAGCTTGCAATCGCGATTCCGTCCCCTCCCTGTGTGTTTCCCTCCCCTCCGCTTCCCCCCCTCGTCCCATCCCTCCCCTTTCTCTCCGCCGCACCCGGTTCCTCCCCCCCTGCCGCCTATCTTACCTCGTGTCCCCCTTTCGGCCCTACCCTCTTGCCCCCCCCCCTCTTCCCCTCCCCCTGGGGCGACAATCTAGGCCGCGCCCGCCTCCTCCTCCTCCTCCTCCTCCTCCTCCTCCTCCTCCTCCTCCTCCTCCTCCTCCTCCTCCTCCTCCTCCTCCTCCTCCTCCTCCTCCGCGCGGCGCACCTCATTTCTCCCCTCGCCGGTGGCCCATTGGGGCCCCCCCTCCGTGCGAGGCGGGCGACGTGTCGCCCGTCGCCCGTCGCCCGCCGCGTCGCCCCTTTGGGGTTGGCGCTGGCGGCGTCGCCCATTCAGGGCGCATTTGGGGTTGGCGCTGGCGCGTCGCCCATTTAGGGCGCGCAGGTGACAACGAGCCCCTCCTGCCCGCCCTGGCTTGCCGTGTACGGCAGGCGCTGACGACACCGCAGCACCAGGCGCCCGCCGGCCTCGCGGAGTGCACCCCCCCCGCCCCGCACACCCCTGGGCTGCCCTGGACAACCTGCGCAGAGTGTCGCACGCACACTGCTCGAAGGAGAAAGCACGACTCGAGCATCAGGTTTCGAACATCTGCGCGGATTTCTGGGATCCGCGCTGGCCCCAGGAAGGGGCGGCGCCGCAGAGAGGGAGTGGGTGGTCCAGCGCCGATCCAAGAAATCTAAACGGAGCTCCGAAAGCTTAGGGTTACGCAGCTTGCTTAGTTTTGCTAGTCTCGTGCACGACTCGAGCACGAAGTAAGATTTCTTGGCGGGGCAGCCTCGGACAGGCTTTCACACCGACAATACTCCAATCCCGTGTCGGCCGCCTCGGCATAGTCCTCATCCACGCCCCCATAATCCCATCATCATGTCATGTGCGACCATCAGCATCATCACCACCACCCTCGCCATTGCCATCACCATTACTATTATCAGCATCATCCTCACGCTCGTCGTCTGTATCTTTCGTTTGCATCTTTGATATCGTATCCATCCCAATCATCGCCCGCATCTTTCTGATCGCTATACTTCCTGTCCTCCTCTCGACCTGCCCCATCGTACTACTGATTCTCTTCGCCTCCCTCATCCTGCCCACAGAGATCCTTGGAGGTCCCCGCAGGTCTCCCCGGGAATCTCGAGAGGCCTCCAGGGGTCCTCCGAGGCCCCCAGAGAAGACGCAGGAGGAGGATGCCTTCCTGATCTTCGTCCCAGTCCTTTCTTGTGGTTTCCCCCCGTTTTCCCCAGAGGGAGGAGGAGGAGGAGGAGGAGGAGGAGGAGGAGGAGGGGGAGGAGGAGGCAGACCCGTCCTATGCCTGATCTTCGTCACAGTCCTTGCCTGCCGTTGTCCCCCGTTGTCCCCCCAGGCCTGCTCTCAAGCCGGAGGAGTGTGGGGTGTCCCAGTCCCGCAGCACAGCCCCCGCCCCGAGCTGTGGCCAGGACGCGCAGGCGGGCTTCAAGCGCGAGAGCGGGCTCATGCAGCAGAGTCCAGATTTGCAGGCCCCATTTTATCGGATTATCCTCGTCCTCCTCCTCCTCCTCCTCCTCCTCCTCCTCATTATCATCATCTTCATCAGCATCATCATCATCATCCTCATCCTCATTCTGCTCCTCCTCGTCCTCATCTTCATCCTCATGCTCCTCATCCTCCTCACCCTCCTCTTGCTGCTGCCCCGCCTCCTCCTGCTGTGGTCTGCAACCTCTTTCCCCCACTCTTGCTTGTCTTCGTACCTCCCTCTGGTTGTTTGATCCCATGCTTGGCGTGGTTTGCAGTGCCATCAGCGCGACAGGATCGTCACGAAAACCACGTCCACGATGACGCCATTTAGACGGCTTTTAGCGGGACCAACAGCAGCAGCGTGTCGAGGTCGTCGAATATCGCCAAGGCGAGCTTTCTGAAAGATCCACGTGTGTTCCATCCTTGCCGCCTCAGCACGTTAATGAGGATCCCAGAGGGAGTCGTCGCGGCAAAGCGAGCCGCATGTCATGATCTCGCGTTGGCTACGCCCGCAGGAAGGGGTCCGTAGCCCTTTTTGTATTCCAGGTTGGTGCGGCGCACACGGCGATCCTGCTGCTTGCGAAGTGTGTTCGCAGCATTCTCACGGTGCGCGATGTCCCAATTGTTGGTTCTCCGTCACGGGAGTCGTGCCGTGCAGCGCAGCAAGATGCCCAAGTATTCGCACCGTCGACAGACCTTGACATCCTCGCGCCGTGAGGAGGCACGGAGGAAGGCTGTTCGGCGGCAATTTTCAGCCTCCGGGGCCCTCCCTTGGCCCTGGAATTAAGTCGGGCATGTCTTTCTACAGGAGGAATATTTAGAACATGGTGTGTTTTTTTTCGTATGGGGACGATTTATTTACTATTTTGAAGTTCCTTTTTTTTTTCCTTGCAAGTTGCCATTCTTCTTCCAAAATCCACCTGTAGGAGGACATACCCAACCGAACCCTTGGCCCTGGAACCATCAAACAAAGTATTCAGGATGAAGTGCACGTCTTCGGGAAGAGATTTGTGGTCTTCAGGGTTCTGTAAAAGAAACGTTGACGTCGGAGGTCTTGAGAGTTCGAGGGGGAGCTCGAGTTGCGCACTCGGACCCACTGTCGCAACGGAGCTTGGCTGTATGAAACGTGGTCCAATGAGGCGAATTCTCTGAGGGAGGAAATGCTGGGCCCAAAGCGTGGCACTCACAAGGAAGATTGGCTGGACACAGGCATCGGCGCAGGGACGCTGTCGCCAGAGCGGCGGCGGGCGTCAGCGACTGCGGCACGCGCGGTGCCTGGCCTCGTGCCCCACGACGTCACCGTGGTCGATTAGCTGTTCCAGCTGCGTCCTTCTGAGACCACAGAGGCCACCACCTTCCCAGACCTGCCATAGTGCTAAAAATTCGCCCTCCAGACATGTAAGCCTGCCTGGACTGCTCCAACTCTCGACCAGGTTTTCAATGCAAAAGCCCTGATCCCATTTTTGTTGCTGCCCTCCAGGAAGGTCCGGGCACAGGAGGGGGCCCAGAAAGCACGACGTAGGAGTCATCCCTCACACACTCCTCCCACGGTCCACCCGCATAAGAGGGACGGGCATCCTTCGCGAGGGTATCCTTTCGTCCCTGCCTCCTCGGTCCACCCTTGGCCCCCTTTGTTGGCCGCGCTCCGCTCGAGAAGCTTCGAGATGGGCGTCCAAAAGGCCCTTGGTACCCTTATCGCGCATCCTTACGGTACTCCGAGTTTCTTAATAAGCGTCGGGGGGGCGTCACCCCCGCCCACAGCCCCACATCGACCCCCGTCGCGGGCAGCCACCGCGCGCCGAAGGCGCTCCGACCCCCGTCGCGGCGCGACGGCGAGGCGAGGTTGACCCCCCGTCCGGGGGGTATCCCCCCACGCTTACTCAGAAACTCGGCCGACTCGGAAGGGGCTGACCGGCTCGGAAGGGGCCGAGTCCAATCTCCGGCTCGGAAGGGGCTGACCAAGACGACGGCGGCCCTCTGCCGGGCGTTCCTCGCACCCTCAGGGGCAACGATAGGGGGGGATAGGCATAGAGGGGGGATGCATCGACCCCCAATCCCCCATTGATTGCCGATAGGGGCCCAATAGCCCCACCCCGCCCAGGATGGTGCGGGTTCCCTATCGGGGGCCCATCGCCAATCCATCGACGATGTATCGCCGATTGCAGGTCGATGCATCCCCCCTATCCCCTATCGTTGCCCCTCCCCTATCGTTGCCCCTCCCTATCCCTATCCCCCCCCTATCCCTATCCCTCCCCTATCGTTGCCCCTCCCTATCCCCTATCGTTGCCCCTCCCTATCCCTATCCCCCCCCTCCCTATCCCTATCCCCCCTATCCCCCCCTATCCCCTATCGTTGCCCCTCCCCTATCGGTGCCTATCCCCCCCCCCTATCGTTGCCCCTCCCCTCACACCCGCTCGCGGGCTTCCCGCGGGCTCCTCGTCGCCGCGGCCAGCCCCAGGGGGCGCCCTCGAGCCGCCGTGGTCGCAGACTTGGCCATCCTCCTCCCGCGCCTCCTCCTCCTCCACCTCCTCCTCCTCATCATCATCATCCTCCTCCTCTTCCTCCTCCTCCTCCTCCTCCTCTTCCTCCTCATCCACCTCCTCCACCTCCGCCTCCTCTTCCTCCTCCTTCTCCTTCTCTTCCTCATCCTTCTCCCCCTCCTCCTCCTCCTCCTCCTCCTCCTCCGCTTCCTCCTCTTCCCCCTCCTCCTCCCTCCTCGTGACCGGGAGCGCGCGCACAGGTCGCGGTGGCAGGGTACTTCGAGGAGGAGCAGGACCACGAGGAGTCTTGGCGTCCGCGGCCCGCGGCGCCCCGAGCGGTGACAGGGGGCGGAGGCGCGGAGAGTGCTGCGGCGGGCACGCGGCGCACCGTATGGGGGGGGGGCACAGGACCTTGGCGCTGCCCGGGGATAGGGAGACTCCCAGATCTCCGACGGTCTGATCTGTCGTGAGTCGGGCCTCTGCCCCTCGACACGAGGAATCTTCAAGGATGGTCAAAAAACCATAGCCTGGTGAAGATGTTGTCTTTCTTGTTTGACTGTGTTTGCGCATTGCCTGACCATTTTGAATGTTTCGTCCAACCGCGTCAGTAGGAGGACATGCCCCATTTAAGGATAGTGAGACTCCCAGATCTCCGACGAGCTGATCTGCCCACTCTGGGTGTTTTTCCTCGCCCTCTGGCGCCCGTCGCCTGCCCCCATGGGCCGTCAAGAACGGATATGCGGAGCGAAGGACTGCCCCTGGGGATGGGGTCAGGGCCTCAGTCGTGCATGGAAGGAGTCACATCGGCGGATGTCTGGGGGGGGGGGGCACAAGATCTTGACACCATCTGGGGGACAGGGGGCAGGATGCACGAGTCACCCTTCAGGAAGGGAGGCGGGGGATGATGGAGGAGGAGGTGGAGGAGGAGGTGGAGGAGGAGGAGGAGGAGAGAGGGGAAACATCTAGAATCTCATCTTTCCGAGGAGCATGTGGAGGAGAAGTGGGGACGACAAATAGTTGTTGGCGTGAGACGTGGCTGGATTGGTTGGAGGGCGGTGCCCATCCCCTCCTCCTCCTTGGCCACGCCCATACGAATGGCGAAGAGCAGCAGCAGGCACATGAGCCCAAGAGGCAGCGGAGCCGACACCTCGGCGCAGCTCGAGACGAGCACAGCTGCAGAAACGATCTGCCCATCGTCATCCCCCCATGCTCCCCTCCGGCCCCGCTCTCCGTTTGCAGGAGGACGAAGCCCCACTGGTCCAAGCTGCTCGCGTGAGCTTCGTGGAGCTTGCCGCCTCCGACGGATGTCTGGCCTCCTGGTGCAGTGCGGTCCCTGCCCCTGCGTGTCTGCCACAGCCAGAGGTCCGCAGTTCTTCGGCGGCGAGGCGAGATCGGCTCGCCAGCAACGGCCCATGTTAAACAGCTATCCTCACACTCCTCCCTTGTCCGTGCCCCGCTTCCCCCCATCCACAGCCTCCTTATCCTCAGCCCCGTTCCGGAAGTCGCGATCGACCTCGGGAAGCGGGTTGTCGAGCTTGCTTGACGCGCCGCCGACGGCACCATTGTTCTCGTTCCCTGGGGACCGCTGATGAACAAAGCGTGAACCAGGACCAGGTTCAGCAGCAGCCCCCACCCAGCATCCAGAGAGGATCGGTGCCAGGGTTGATCTTGCCACCAATGAACTCCATAACGTGTGGTTCAAAGTGGCTTCGCCCTCCACACAATGAGGACGTGAACTGTTGCGGCTGCCGTGAATGACCCAGAGTAGGCGTCGTTCTCCCTTCCCCGCTCACTCTCCACCCTCTTCCTCGCAAGTGAGCCCCATCCTTCGCGCCACCAGACGTATCGCTGGTGTGGGCCGGACACTTTTAACCTGAGACTTCCTCTCGTTCAACGGGCGCGGGGTTCGGAAGTTCGAAGGGCTGCGCGGAGGGAGGGTGGGCAGCTGTCAACACTGCGGTTGCGCCCCAGCGCCGCGCACGATCGCGTCAAACTGTTCAACAGTTGCGCGGAAGGACACCTGGCGGTTGTCCGACTGGGGTGCTTCAGGTCCCCCGGAACTGGGGCGGAGTAGACGCGGTCATACGGAGCCCCTGGGTGTGGTCAGTTGTTGTGCTGATCTCGTGATTACGAGTGCAGAACACATGGCGGCATTTGCGCTGTTGGCGAGTCGGTTATACGACGTTTCGCGCCGCCGCCCGTAAATTGTTAAGCAGGTGCGCGGAAGGGCACCTGGCGGTTGTCCGACTGGGGTGTTTCAGTCAGGGGAGGGGAAACCACCCCGACCCCGACAGTTGGCGTTTACTACACGGCCCTGGGCGTGTAGTCAAAGGCCCTGCCCTGTTCGGCTCCTTCCTTGGATGCGTTTACTAAACGGCTTCGCTTGCCGGGGTGCTTATTATGTGGGTGGATTATCTGCTCTCTATTCAGGTCCCCCGAAACAGGGGCAGTTATACGATGTTTCGCGCCGCCGTCCGTAAATTCGCTTCGCCACGCATTTAAATGCAACGCGTGTCAACACCGCTGAGGACGATACAAGTTCGAAGTCTCGTGACCTCGGGGGCGTCGGACTAGACTTTGCACAACTCGTAAATGGGGGTCGCAGCAGAGGGCATGTTCGCAATAGTGGGTCGAGCGTTCACCCGAGGAACGCCAAGCATCGGAGCGGCGGAATAATCGATCCGATCCCATTGCACTCCGCTCTTTCCCTTTTCATCCGTCCGGCATTTGTTCCCTCTTCCCCCGTGTCCCCCTTTTTTCCCCTCCTTCTCCAGTCCTCTTTTTCTTCTCCTCCTCTTCCATTTTCTCGTCTTGCTGGGCCCCGCACTGGACGCCGTGCTGGTGCCCCCGTTTAGCCCCACCCCGCTTACGCGGCGTTCATACCTCGCATCGGAACCGCTCCCAAATCTTACACCGACTATGCGCGGATCATGTTCACAATGGGGTTGTCGCTTCGGTGCCTCGCACAATCGTCTGAACAACTTCCAGCGCTCACTTACACTGGCGGAAGGAGAGTCATGGAGCCATCATAACGAACCTCTCGCTTTTGCGCCGTGCTCGCCCGTCTGAGAATACACCGGCTGTCTACGTGATGAAGGGCGAACCGCTTAAAGGTTACATTCTCGCCGTGTCGCCGCGCAGTTCGCTTCCGCACGACAAACAGATACAGGGATGGAGACGTTACAATGTAGGTGTCATGTGAGATGCTGTAAACACCTTGGTCGGAAAGAGCGCTTTCTGGCGCCACTGGCAGGGGGGGGAAGGGGTTTCCATCCCCGCCCCCTCCCCCCTCCCGCAAACTAGGGGGTGGGGGCGGGTTTCGGGAACTGGAGGGACCCCCCCTCCTTGAAAAACCAACGAGGGGTGCGCCCCCACCCGTCCTCCCCTCCCCGGGCCCTCCCGGAGGGTTTCGACCCCCCCCCCCGTGGCCGCCTGCAGCCGCCGACGACGACAACGACGACGACGACGACAACGACGACGACGACGACGACGACGACGACGACGACGACGACACATTCTTGCGCCAGGGGGGGGGGTCGAACACCCCCCCCAGGCCTTCCCGAGGTGGGGGGTTGGACCCCCACCTCCTCTCCGCCCGCCAACTCGCCGCTGGCAAACGACGACGACGACGACGTCGTCGCACATCTGCGCCAGCGCCCGTCCACCCACGTTGGAGAAGACAGACGAGGGAGAGGGGCGGGGGAGGAGGAGGAACAGCAGCGGGAGGGGGCGGTGGGTCAGGGGTGGGAACGGCAGTGTGCAAAAGAACGGGAGGGAGGGGGAGCAAAAGGAGAAGGAAAAGAGGAGGAGGAGGAGGAGGACGAGGATAAAGGAGGCATACTGTGTACGCGTGAGACTTTATTATCCCGCCCAACCGACCCGACCCGCCCGGCAGGATCTGCCCGCCCGAGCCGCCCGATGGGGTCCGCCCGTCCCGACCCGCCCGTTAGGGTGTTCGCGTCAGAATCAGACTTTAGTGTACCGCCCGACCCGACCCGACCCGCCCGATTGGGGTCCGCCCGCCCGGCCCGCCGATAGGGTCCGCCTGCCCCGACCCGCCCGGTAGGATTCTCCGTGTCTTGCTGTATACGCATCAGACTTTAGTGTCCCGCCCGCCCGACCCGACCCGCGCAACAGGGTCCGCCCCGCCCGCCCGACCCGACATGCCCGATAGGGCCCGCCCGGCCCGTCCAATCGGGTCCGCCCGTCCCGACCCTCCGATTAGGGTTCTCATGTGTCATTGTGTAGACGCATCAGACTTTAGTGTCCCTCTCGCCCGACCCGACCCGCCCGATAGGGTCCGCTCAGCCGACCCGCCCGATAGGGTCCGCCCGTCCCGACCCGCCCCGCCCGATAGGGTTCGCCCGTCCCGACCCGCCAGTTGAGGTTCTCATGTGTCATGGTGCATTCGCATCAGACTTTGGTGTCCCGCCCGCCCGACCCGACCCGCCCGATAGGGTCCGGCTAGCCGACCCGCCCGATAGGGTCCGCCCGCCCCGACCCGCCGATTAGGGTTCTCGCCCGACCGATACGACCCGCCCGTTACGGTCTGCCCGCCCGACCCGCCCGATAGGGTCTGCCTGTCCCGACCCGTCAGTTAGGGTGCTCATGTGTCACGCTGTATACGCATCAGACTTTGGTGTCCCGCCCGCCCGACCCGACCCGCCCGATAGGGTTGCCCGTCCCGACCCGCCCGATAGTGTTCTGATGTGTCATGCTGTATACGCATCAGACTTTAGTGTCTCGCCCGCTCGACACCACCCGCCCGCCCCGTCCGATAGGGTCCGCCCGTCGTCGTCGTCGACGTCATTTTCGTCGTCGTCGTCGTCTTCGTCGTCGTCGTCTTCGTCGTCGTCGTTGTGTCGTCGTGTCGGTCATCGTCGTCGTTGTCGCCGACGTCGTCGTCGTCGTCGTCGTTTGCCGGCGGCGAGCAGGGGGGGGAGGGGGGAGGGGGGGGTTCGAAACCCCCCAGGGGGCATGGGGAGGGGGGGGAGAGGGGGACTCCCCCCAGGGGGGGAGTCCCAGGGAGGAAGGGGGGGGGGGGGGGCGGACCTCCGGGTTCTTTGAGGGGGAGGGGGAGGGGGGTTGTGCAGGGGAGGGGGGTTGGGGGGGGGTCCCCCGGTTTCCGACCCCCCCTTCAGGGATTTGTTTCCCGGGGGGGGGGCAGTTCTTTGACCCCCCCTTATGGTTTTTTTTTTTCAGCACAGCCGCGGTGGATCGCGCTCCCTCGTCGGTCGGGTAATAATGGGGAGCAACTGGTCTATGGATGAAGGGCGATCCATTGTCACATTGGGCCATCGCA